TATAAATATTAAGAATTTTTAAAATGTATGTTGCAGCTAATGACTACATTAATTAATAAAATTTGAATTTAAAGTACGTTTTGTTAATTTTTTTCTTGAACTTTTATCTGTCAAATGCAACCAATTTTTTGTAGTAATATTTAACATTTAATATTTAATATTTAACCTCAATATTTAATACTCACTCGGTTTAGATCCATAATCTGGCGATGTTTTTACATACGATGTTCTACATTCATCCAAATCTTGAAATATACCTTTTATTCCTTTATAATCAACTGCGTAACCGACTACCGTCTGATATTCAAAAGAAAAACTGATTATTTTCATGTATATAAACATTTCACATATATAATATTTAATATTTAAATATAAGTATAAATTAAATAACATTTATATTTAGTAATACATTATTATATAGGGTCACACAAAAGTACTCGGAATTTTTTTAAAAACATTAAGTAGTTACAAATCAAGGTAAAACTTAAGATTAAGGGCGACCTCACCGATTTCAATGATCTTGATATATGTTGTCAAGGTCATGATCCTGAGTGATCTTCAGAAGGTTTTAGCCGTCGCTCGTTATTCGTTAAAAAGTTATTAACAAAAAAAGTTTGAAAAATATAGCAGTTATTTTGAGTATTGGAAGGCATAAACGACTAATATGTATGTGGAAATAATATATGTATATATGAACGAAGGAAAGTCATTTAAAGCAGCGAATTGTTGCTTTCGGTTAAAGCAGTGAAAATTTTTATCATCCCTTATACTAGATACCGTTTTTTGAAATAATGGCAACATTATATTCCCTTACTGACAGTACTGTAAGGATCAACTCTTCGGGATGTCAGGATAATAGATTACAGTTTAGATAATAGAATACAGTTTATTTAAGTTTCGTTACACACGATTTGATACGGTATGCACCGCAGCGCGCAACCGGAGACGGTCCACCTCTACCGTTCGCGGCTCACGATCGTCTGCCCGCGTATTACAATCGGAGCAACGAGCTCCGTGTTCGGCTCTGATCACGCGTGTCCGGCGTGATGTCTCCTCCCGACATTTCCTCAGGTCTGCCAGCTACGGTGCCAACGTGACTAACTTAACGGGTTTCTTACAGTACATCTGACTAGAAACCATATGAATATACGTTATTGTTTAAGTACATATATTTGATTGAGCTTATATAATTTAATGTATTATTAATTATTTCCATAAGTATTTTTATAAGTTTATTTTTATCATCACATATTCCCAAAAACTCGTAAAGCTTCATTTTAAGTCGTATCAGTCTGGCAACAACGATTGACAAAAGATGACTATGGGCGCAAACACGCCAAATAGACCAAATACTACAGAATGTAAATAACCAAGATCAGAAGCTAGTAACTTGCTCGTAATCTTGGTTATTTACATTCTGTGATTTATTATTATATTATTTATCCTACAATATATGTGCCCAATATATGTAAACAATAACGTTTATACAATACAATCATACAATTACAATCATACAATTATGGTTAAAGCAGAGAATATTTTGTATTCATGCTTTCTAACATGTACAATTGTATATATATATACTTTTCTATACCAATTATTCTCTGCTTTAACAAAAAGACTGTTTAATATAACGATTCACTGCTTTAAATGACTTTCCTTCGTTCATACATGTATTATTTCCACATACATATTAGTCGTTTATGCCTTCCAATACTCAAAATAACTGCTATATTTTTCAAATTTTTTTTGTCAATAACTTTTTAACGAATAACGAGCGACGGCTAAAACCTTCTGAAGGTCATTTGGGGTCATGACCTTGACAACATATATCAAGGTCATTGAAATCGGTGAGGTCGCCCTTAATCTTAAGTTTTACATAAATCAGTATATAGAAGAAGATGGGGAAACTGGAACCAGTTAAGAAAAAAATATATTATAATCACCAAATATTTAGTTGAACTTTTAGTAATTAAATTCGAAAAACATTATGCTTCAATTTGGTATAACATAAGTATTTAAATTCTAATAAAATTAACCAAAAAAATAATCATTTTTTAAAAATTATAATAAATTCCTATTACCACAGGCAACGGGCAATAAGAACCACCTTATGAGTAATGAGATCCATTGCCTATGCGGAACATTTAAGAGTGAGTAACAATAAAGTACTTATTTATGGAAACAGTAATTAAATAGATAAAAAATAGTTCATTAACTTAGGACAAGATCGATCATTAAATTTAAGTTCTTTTTATTATTTCATAATTAATTTTTACGAATTCAAAAGTCGCAAATAAAATTGTTTACCTTTTTACAAGGTAAACAATGCTAAGCAGTATTTTGTTTAAAATTTGTATATTCGAAGTAATTAGAGCCAGTCTAATTACACCATTGGAGTTAGTCCAAATTATCCCATTAGTCTAGTTTTTTTTCAGAGATTTAAAAAAAAAACTATTGAAAAGATTTTTTAATTTTAAATGTTTTGTCAGTAAAAAGTAAACAATCACAATAAGAATAAAGAAAAAATAAATTTAATTAATAAAAAATAAAATCACTTTTTGCTTAAGAAAAAATCGATTCGATAAAAATTATAACGGAGCGACCGGAAACGACGTGCACTTTCCTAGGCAAACAAACAAAACAAACTTGATAAAATGTTCGAATGGCGGAAGGAGCGGTGTTCCATAAGAGTTATACTCACACGCCGGTTCGGATTTATAACACGCGATAGTCAATTTATTGTAAGATGATTCTTATTACCCTGTGGTTTCTATTTCCTACAAATTAAATATCTACACTTTAAACAAAACATACAACTTTATTAAAACATTAATAATAAAATTAAGCAAAAAAAATTACAAACAATTTTGAGCATTTATTGTAATTTTAAAGTTCTGTTTAAAAATGCTTAATTCGTATACCGATTTATACCCGCTAAATGTTTTTAAAAAAATTTCAGGAACTTTTGTGTCACCCTGTATTTTTTCAGACTATTTTAATTTTACTTTTAATACTGTATATATTTAAAACTTAAAAATGTACTTTGAAAAACATATGTAAATCTCTTTGTACTTACGACTAGCAGACACGTAGCAAGCAAAATAGTCTTCATTCTGCTCTATTCTTTACAATACTATATTCTCCTATATTCTTCTCACAAAAAATATTTGTAGAAGTTGCGACAGATTTTCTCTATATATATACCTCGGCAACGTATTTATTCTGAAAATAAATTGAATAATGTTTAGCCGTCATTAATTCTGTTTATTTTCACTACTATTATCAGAGACGGTGACAGACTTATAACTAATTGGTGCCGGAAACCCACCTTTTCGGGACGATATATTAATTATCTATTCAGTCATCCACATAGATAAAAAGTTAACACCATAATTAATCTTGTTGACCACACTGTTCTACTTGCTGATACATGGTTTCATGAATCTAATATCAATATTGGTTAAAGACATTCTGCTGAATAATTGTTTTCATTTAGTTTACTTAATAAACATATCAATAATAGGTTAAAAGAACTTAGTAACCGGAGCAACACGCACCCCATAATAATGCCACCGATGATTTCCACGACATTAAAAAATACATTAAAATCTTTTATGTCAAGGGCCACAGCAAAAAAATTTGTCGTATTTTGCATTAATTTCGACGTCCTTTACACTGTTCCTAAAAAATTCTATTTTGCTTGATAATGTTAGAAAAACTGAAATTGCACATAAGATCAACTGCAATGATTTCAATCCCTCTTACATAGGGCAAACCAAGAGACAAGGACGCGTATTAATGAACATCGGTCAGATATTAAGAATAGCCAATCTGTTGTAAGTAGACACCGTCTGGCTCATTGGTCTGAGCCAGAAGTGTTACATAGTGAGAAACATTATTACAGAAAAAGAGAGATAGCAGAGATGTTTTTTATTAGGAGACACGGCGACACGATAAATATACAAAAAGATACGGAAAATTTGAATGCGTTATATGATTCAGTGATAGCTGCTATATAACGTCTGCCTTTATTTATTTCATATGTCTTTATTCATTTCACATTTTATTTGAGATATCAATCTATTTCTAATTCTATTAAATTTTTCAGTTTTTTCTACCCCTATTTTATATATAATTCTTTAAAATTTAATTAATCAGTTCTTGAGTTATAAAAATTTCAGTAAACTTGGCTGTTTTTTTTAACAGTATTCTTTACTGGAAAGTAATATTTATATTTATATTTTATTAAAATAAGTTATTAATAAAAAATAATTATTAATAACGGTTGCCTGTGTTTTTAAGAACTATATATATATAAAGACATTTTTATGCAGTTTTTCTCGTGGTAAGGCGACAGTTTCCCGAAAAGTAAAGGGGATAACGTTGGTATATCAACAAAAATCCCTAAGGGGTGTCGTTATAATTTCTACGGGTTAGCAACACACCTCTATAGTGCTGGACAACTTCAACACCTCTATGAAGTTGGCCGGACAACTTCAACGTATCGAACTTTCATT